GAGACAAAGTCTTGCTCTGTCGCCAGGCACCAGGCTGGAATGCAGTGGCGGGATCTCGGCTCACTGCAACCTCAGCCTCCCGGATTCAAGCAATTCTCCTGCCTCAGCCTCCCGAATAGCTGGGACTACAGGCGCGTGCCACCACGCCCAGCTAATCTTTGTATTTTTTAGTAGAGACGGGGTTTCACTATGTTGGCCAGGATGGTTTCGATCTCTTGACCTCATGATCCGCCCGCCTCGGCCTCCCAAAGTGCTGGGATTACAGGTTACTATGTGTTATTTATTCAGCTCTTTCTGGTGGAGGTTTTGGCTTTGTTTAGTGCTGCCTCATTTTAATGGTCAGAATGATGGAGTCAGAAGAGCTGGGTGAGCCCTCATAGTTCATGAGCTTCCTGTTTCTCCTCTCTAAGGTGGACATATGATTACCTGACCTGCCTACTCAAATGATTGTTAAGGATTAATTTTTGAAAATGTTTTTAAAATTGTAAAAGCTGTTATCTGTAAATGTATGGTTTGGCGACCCTTGCTCCACTGTGATCCTGATGCATTTTTCTTTTAATTCCAATTAATTTCAATTTTAAAACACCCTGCACCCTCTCAAAATTTCTAAGAGGCTATGAACTCTAATGTGAAAAAATTAACTGTATTTTATTAATTTTCTTCCTGTCCCAAATGGTAATGTATTTGAGACAATTATACATCTTGGAAAGCCAATCTACCTACTTTATTTTTCATGAAAACCTACATTAAGTTGCTAATGCTTAATCTGAACAAAAATTGATAAATGTACCTTCAGTTCATCAAACCCAAAGCTTTGTAAAGCTTTTCACAGTCTAGGAATCACAGGTGTTATAGATAACAGTGCCAATAAACTTGGGTACAACATGAATTATATCGTTTCTTAAATTCCAAGTAAGGGCTACCTATGTAAACATATTAAAAAACTAACCCTAGGTAAGAGGTTAAAGTTTATTTTCATTGTTAGCCTGATCTTTTATCCATTTGGCAATATTCAGATATAGGAAATGGGAGAAATAGTAACTAAAATTTATTGGAATTTAATGATGAAAGTGAGAATGTCACTGTACAGTATTTCATTTGGTTTTTACCAGAACCCTGTAAGGTTAATGGTGGTATCCCTATTTTATAAATGACACTGAAGCTCAGAGGGGTTGAGGAACTTGTACAGGTCACACAGCTAATTAATGGCAAAGCTTAGATTCATACCCAGGTTTCTCTACCTCTGAACATTATATGCTTTCTATTATTATGTATAGGTGCTTACAAGAGCATTGTTCTAATTTTTTTCTTTCAGATTTTTAAATATTCAAATTCCAGTTTGCATATCCAACACTGGATACTGCCCTTATAAAACCAAGAGGAAATCATGAAGAAATGTTTTAATTATTGAATCTACACAATTGAAATCATGGCTACATCAGCAAATCTGGATATTGGAGCCCAGCTTATAGTGGAAGAGTGTCCCAGCACTTACAGCCTGACTGGCATGCCAGACATTAAACTAGAACATCCACTGGACCCAAATTCAGAAGAAGGATCAGCTCAGGGTGTTGCCATGGGAATGAAATTCATATTGCCTAACCGATTTGATATGAATGTGTGTTCTCGATTTGTGAAGTCCTTAAATGAAGAAGACAGTAAAAATATTCAAGATCAGGTTAACTCTGACCTGGAAGTGGCATCTGTCCTATTTAAAGGTTGAAAGTTATGGTATAAATATCTGCATTTGTCTTTGTTTTTGTGTATTTGATTTTTTTCCCCAATCATGAGATTTTGAGTTTGGGAAGACAGTTTAGAAGTCATTTTTAAATATGATTTTGGAATCTCACAGAAACCAAAATTAAAATAATTTCAGATTATATAATATTGAACTTAAAGGAAGTGCATGTTGATTTTTTTTAAAAAAAACTTCTTGTTTAATATTTGTTTATTTACAGATTCTCTAATGAAGTTCCCTATTACTCCTTTTAAAATCGTAAGCCGGGCACAGTGGCTCATGTCTGTAATCCCAGCACTTTGGGAAGCCAAGGCAAGCAGATCACTTGAGGTCAGGAGTTCAAGACCAGCCTGACCAATATGGTGAAACCTTGTCTCTACTAAAAATACAAAAACTAGCCGGACATGGTGGCACAGGCCTATAATCCCAGCTACTGGGAGGGAGGCTAAGGCACAAGAATTGCCTGAACCTGAGAGGTGGTAGTTGCAGTGAGCTGAGATTGTGCCACTGCACTCCAGCCTGAGTTGAAAAATAAAAAAAATCAAAAAATAAAAATTAAATTATAGGAAAAAAATTCTTGTTCCTTTTAGAAATGAATTAGCTTAATATTCATTCCTGAATATTCCTGTTCCTTAAATATTTAATGTGTATTCACTTTCTATGCTTTAATGCAGTGAAGTCTGTCATCATGCTCTAGATTTACTTGATACCCTGAATGATAAAACTATTCTCTTAGAAAAACATCACTCAAGAATAATATATTTTTATTCTAGAACTTTCACTATGGTAGTATAGACTTTTTAAAACTCACCACTATGCAAACAAGGAAGTGTGGACTTTTATGAAAAAAAACTTTAGTATCACTTGATAAATAGTTTAATTGAAGCTATTATATCTCGTATTTCTTTTTAAATGTAGACATTGACATAGAACTCTTATTGAATTGCTTTTAATGTGTTTAAATTTGTTTTTTACTTAGCTGAATGCAATATCCATACATCTCCTTCTCCGGGAATTCAAGTAAGGCATGTCTACACTCCCTCTACAACAAAACATTTCTCACCCATCAAACAGTCAACTACTTTAACCAACAAACACAGAGGAAACGAGGTCTCTACCACACCTCTGTTAGCAAATTGTAAGTATTTGCCACTGATGTGTTACTGTATTCTTTTTCTTAATATAATACTTTCAAGAATTTGACTTTAAAACATTATTTTCATTAAATGAATATTCTCTGGATAAAGAAAATGTGTTGTATTACACAATGGAAAACTATTCAACCTTAAAAAAGAAGAAAATTCTATCATTTGTAACACATGGATGAACCTGGAGGATATTATACTAAGTGAAATGAGTCAGTCATAGAAAGACAACTACCACATGATCTCACTGTATGGGACATCTGAAAAAGTAGAACTTAGTGGAAGTACACAGTAGACTTGTGTTCACCAGAGGCTGGGAGAGGGGAGTAGATGCTGAAAGGGTAGAAATATTGATCAAAGGATGCAAAGTTTTTGCTAGACAGGAGGAATACTTAATGACCTATTGTACACAATGGTGACTGTAATAAATAATAGTGCACTGAAGGCTGGCATGGTGGCTCACACCTGTAATCCCAGCACTTTGGGAGGCCAAGGCTGGTGGATCACTTGAGCTCAGGAATTCAAGACCGGCCAGGGCAAGACAGAAAGACCCTGTCTCTACTAAAAATACAAAGAATTTTAAAATTAAAAAATATATAGCCGGGTGTGGTGGTGCACGCCTGTGGTCCCAGCTACTCAGGAGACTGAGGTGAGAGGACACTTGAATCTGGAAGGAGCAGGTTGCAATGAGCCGAGATTGCACCACTGCACTCCAGCCTGGGTGACAGAGTGAGACCCTGTCTCAAAAAAATAGAAAATAATAATGTATTATATATTTCAAAATTACTAAAAGAGTAAATTTTAAATGTTTTTAACACAAAAAAATAAGTATGTGAGGTGATAGATTTGTTAATTAGCTTTAATCATTCCACAATATAAACATATATTAAAATATTCTTTGTACTGTATAGATATATACAATTATTATTTGTCAATTAAAAACAATAAGTAAATGCATATACTTAAGCTTTTTGAGAGCTTAAGTGATGTCCTAGTAGTTTTAGCAGTTGAAAACTTTTTCATATATTATTGCATTTTTAAATATTTCAGGTGGGGGCCAGGTGCAGTGGGTCACGCCTATAATCCCAGCACTTTTGGATGCTGAGGTAGGAGAATTACTTGAGCTCAGGAGTTCAAGACCAGCCTGAGCAACATAACAAGACCCAATCTCAATTAAAAAAAAAAAAATTGTTTTTAAATTAGCTGGTGTGTTGGCACGCACCTATAGTCCCAGATATTCAAGAGGCTGAAGCAGGAGGACCGCTTACTTGAGCCCAGGAGGTCAAGGCTGCAGTGAGCTGTGATCATACCGCTGCACCCCAGCCTGGGCAACAGAGTGAGACCCCGATTCCAATCAATCAATAATAAATAAATAGTTCATGTGTTATGTTTCTCTGTTGAGAGCAACTACAGATTAAAATATTAATTATGAAAACTTAAAAGTTTTACTATAAAAATGAGTTAATAATAAATAATGAGATAAAAATTCTGAGCCCTTTGAAATTAAGACATTGTCAGTATTTTCATGTTCTTGGAGTTCAAGCCTTCACATTTTACTTATAAACTAGAGCACTGATAAATAAATGATTTTGTAGTAAATGACTGATTTGAACTGTAATTTTGAATTTGAATATAATGTGAATATGAAACCACCTCTTTTAATACCTTGAATCCACAATTTTTTTAATGTAGAATTATTCTAGAAGAAGTAAAGTTTTTCTATTTAAACTACAAAATATCCTATGTAGTATAAGTATGTTAAAAAGAGAAAAAAAGGATGTGTATGTATGTTAGTCACTGTGTTCAAGAATGTAATATAAATGTATCTGTATTCTAAAGCATGACGAAATCTCTGTCTTTTCTTTGGAAACACTAAATCCCTCCTGATTCTGAGTCACATACTGTACCAGTTGAGCTAGGAAGAATCTTCCTCTAGGACTCTCAATCCACCTGTTGGCCATTTCTGGTTTACTTATATAAATTTGCATAGGACACTCAATTGTTTTTCTTTCTGTAGTAAGGCCGTCCAATCATATCACCGAAGTCAAATGATCAAATGCTACTAATTTTTAAGGAGAATGCTCTCTATTTATCACTGTCTTAAAGAAGTTGTCTTAAAATAATCCACCACAGAATTTTTGAGCTAAAAACAAATACCTAAGATCGTTTGATTCACATCTCACGTGTTACAGACAAAAATGTTTAATCACTTATCCAAGGACACACAGCTAATTACCCACAGCTAGGCCTACACTCAAGAATTTACTCTCAGGCCAGGAGTGGTAGCTCATGCCTATAACCCTATCACTTTGGGAGGCTGAGGCTGGTGGATCGCATGAGCTCAGGAGTTGAAGACCTGGGCAACATGACGAAACCCTGTTTCTACAAAAAATACAAAAATTAGCCTGACGTGGTGGCTCCCACCTGTAGTTCCAGCTATTTGGGTGACTGAGGCAGGAGGATTGCTTGAGCCCAGGAGGTCGAGGCTGCAGTGAGCTGAGATCACACCACTGCACTTAAGCCTAGGTGACAAATCGAAACTCTGCCTCAAAATTAATTAATTAATTAATTAATTTCTCAAGGCCAGTTTTTCATGTATGACTTCATTCTTTGTAATAAGAAAAACCCATAGAGTCTCAAAATAAAAATATTTAAGACCATAATGGAGTCAATCAATAAAAAGACAAAAACAATGTCTTTTTGTCTTTTAGACCTGTCTTCCTCATAATTTTAGATGCAGAAATAGCATTTTTAAAATTAAATACCTAAACAACTTCTTCAGAATAGATCTCATTGATAATAACAATGTGTAGATTTAAAAAAAAAAAAAAAAGACCAGGACATGGTGGCTCATGCCTGTAATCCCAGCACTTTGAGAGGTCAAAGTGGCAAGATCGCTTGAGCCCTAGAGTTCAAGACCAGAGTGAGTAGCGTGGCAAAACCCTGTCTCATAAAAATAAAAATAAAATTGTAGATACAGGAATTACCTTAAATGAATATGAATCAATTCTCAGATACAGAATGAGTACTTGTAATTTTAGGATACTTTTTTTTTTTTTTTTTTTTAGGAGATGGGGTCTCGCTATGTTGCCCAGGCTGGAGTGCAGTGGCTATTCACAGGC